TCCTCATTCATTATTTAACTCTCATATGAGCATGAGGCTATTGAAAATACCATGGCTTGAGTCAGGCACACGTTAGTCCTCAAACTGACAACTTTTCTCTTGAGTAATTTAAAGAGATTTTGTGCAGCAGATTAACCTACTGCGATACATCTATTAATGTTGGTGGTGGATCCAAGCAAAATGAACTCTTTGACAATTTCGATCTCTTCTACATTTGTCATGATTTTATTTGTTGCTCCAGTGGTGAAGATTTTTGTTTTCTTGACATTGAGATGCAATCCATACCAAAGGCTGTGTATGGTCTTTGATCTTCATCAGTAAGTATTTAAAGTTCTCTTCACTTTCAGCAAGCAAGGTTGTAGGTTGTTAATGAGTCCCCCTCTAATCCTGATGCCATGTTCTTCATCATATAATCCAGTTTCTTGGATTGTTAGCTCAGCATACAGATGGAATAAGTATGGTGAAAGAATATATTTGATGTCCCCTGTTTTGTTCAAATGACTACCTCTTGGTCTGTGTACAAGCACCTCATGAGTACAATTAAGTGTTGCAGAATACTCATTCTCCATAATATTGTCCATAGCTTATCATGATTCACACAGTCAAAATCTTTCGCAGAGTCAATAAAGCACAGGTAAAGATCTTTCTGGTATTTTCTGCTTTCATCCAAGGTCCATCTGACATCAGCAATGATAGTCCTTATTGTATATCCTCATCTGAATCGGGCTTGAACCTCTGACAGTTCCTGTCAATACATTATTGCAGCCATTTTTGAATTATCTTTAGCAAAATTTTACCTGTGTATGGTATTAATTATATTATCCAATGATTTTCACATTCCTTTGAGTCACCCTCTCTTTGGGAATGGACACAAATATGGATCTTTTCCAGTCAGTTGACAAGGCAGCTGTCTTCCAATTTTTTTTGGCATAGATGAATGAGTGCCTCCAATGCTGCATCAGTTTGTTGCAAGATTTCAATTTGTATTCAATTCCCAGAACTTTATTTGTTGCCAATGTTTTCAGTGCACCTTGGGCTTCGTCCTTCAGTATCATTGGCTCTTGATCATATATTGCTACCTCTTGAAATGGTTGAACAATTGTTTCCTTTTTGGTACAGTTACTCCATATTTTCTTTCCCTCTTCTTTTGAGGGTTTCAACATCATTCAATATTTTCCCCAAAGAATCCTTCAGTACTGAAAGTCGAGGCTTGAATTTTTTTCCTCAGTTCTTTCAGTTTGAGAAATGTTGAGCGTGTTCTTCCTGTTTGGTTTTCTAACTTCAGATCTTTGCACATTTCATTATAATATTTGACTTTGTCTCCCAGAGCTGTCCTTCGAAGTTTTCTATTCAGCTCTTTTACCTCCTCATTTCTTCCACTTGACTTAACATCTTTATGCTGGAGAGCAAGTTTCTGAGTCTTTTCTGACATCCATATGGGTCTTTTCTTTCTTGCTTGCTTTTTTTAATGACCTTTTGCTTTCTTCCTGTATGATGTTCTTGATGTCATCCCACAATTCTTCTGGTTGTCTGTCTTTAATATCTAGTGCATCAAATCTGTTCTTGAGGTGGTCTCTAAATTCAAGTGGGATATGTTCAAGGTCATATTTTGGCTCTCCTGGATTTATTTTAATTTTCTTCAGCTTCAACCTGAACTTGTAATGAAAAAGTCATTGGTCTTTCAAAATTCTGTCATGCAATCTCCGGCATCATTTCTATCACCAAAGCCGTATTTTCCAAAAAACTGATCCTTCCTTTTTGTTTTCAACCTTTGCATTCCAATCACTAGTAATTATCAATACATCTTGACGGCATGGTTGATCAATTTCAGAGTGAAGAAGTTGGTAGAATTGTTCAATTTCATCCTCACTGGCTTTAGAGGTTGGTGTGTAAATTTGAATAATAGTGGTATTAATAGGTATTCCTTGTAAGCGTATGGATATTATCCTATCATAGACAGCGTTGCACTTCAAGATAGATCTTGATATGTTCTTTTTGATCATGAATGTGACATCATTCCTCCTCAATTTGTCATTTCCAGCAATAAGCCAATATCAGTCTATTTCAGCTCATTAATGCCTAGAACATCAAGGTTTATGTGTTCCATTTCGTTTTTAACAACTTCTAAAGGAGCTCTGGTAGCGTAGTGGTTACGAATCGGGCTGTGAACCTTAAGGTCAGCGGTTCGAAACTACCAGCCGCTCTGCGGGAGAAAGATGAGGCTTTCTACTCCCGTAAGGATTTACACCCTCAGAAACCCTGTACTGGGTCGCTATGGGTCGGAACCGACTCGACGGCACTTAACAACAACAACAACATGTTACTAGATTCGTGCTTTGTGCATTCCATGTTTCAATTATTAATGGATACTTGCAGCTGTTTCTCCTCATTTTGAGTTGTGCCCCATTAGCAGATGAAGGTCCCAGAGGCTTTACTCCATTCGCATCATCACGGTCAACTCTACTTTGAGGGAGCAGCTCTTCCCCAGTCCTATGTTGAGTGCCTTCCAACCTGAGAGGCTCATATTTAGGCAATATATCTGACAATATTCTGGTGCTCTTCAGCATGTTTCAGTATTCAATATTCTGGTGCTGACAGTGTTCCACTGCTATTCCTAAGGTTTTCAGTGGCTAAATACTTGTAAGCAGTTTGCCTCTCCTTCAAGTCTTCTTTGTCTGGAAGCTCAGCTGAAAGCTGTTCACCATGGGTAATCCTGCCAGCATTCAAAATGTGGGTGGCATAGTTTCCAGTATCACAGCAACATGCAAGCCACCACAGTATGATAAACTGATAGACGAGAGGTGGCTGTTACGTGCCTTCAAGTTGATTCCAACTCATAGGTATCCTATAAAAGATTTCTGAGGCTTTTAAAAATCTTTGCAGGAGCAGAAAGTCTCATCTTTCTCCCAAGGAGTGAGCCACTGGTGGACTCGAATCGGTGACTTGTGTTTCAAAGTCCCGAGCTTATCCTGTATAGCCACTGGGCTCCCCTTTTCGACACCGGGTTCTTTTTATTTTCTTGTTTTCTTTCCGCAGGCTCCATGGTGATGCCTTCTTTCTTATTTCTGCTGCGGCTGATTCATATCTTCTTTCCTTTCTCATTGTCAGCCTCGGGGGATGTTTAGCATCATTATATTGTTGTTAGTTGTCATCAACTCGGCTCCAACTCATGCTACCCCATATGTGTCAAAGTAGAATACACCCCATAGTAGTTCCCCAGGCTTATCCTCCAAGGCACCGCTGCATGGGTTTGAACCAACCTCTCGGGGGTAGTGATTGAGCCATCCAGGAACCGTCTTCATTATAGAAGCTGGCCTGTCAAAGATCTGAATTTCAGTTTTGGTAATCCTTTCTGGGGTATTTTATTTTCTGTTTCATTCATTTGAGCTCTTTTTACTTCCTTTTCTATTCCTTTGTTCTACTACACTGGTCAGTTTTGCAAAAGCAACAAGCAGATATGAGTATTCTAGGCAGGTGCAAAGGTGTAGGCACAGTCTGGGAGCAGGACTGAGGGTGGGGTACAGGGAATGCACTGATTAAGACCCTTCACACAGCGCCCCATGCAGCGTACCTCTCCCAGCTCACAGGTCATGGGGGGAGCCAGGCACGGCTACTTACTTGCTTCACTCCCTCTGCTCTTTTCCTCCATCAACAGTTCTGGAGACCCAGTGCTTCCTGCATACCAGGAATGGCCTGGCTCAACCAGTGGTTTCTAAACCATGTCTCTCTGAGCCTGAGGGGCAGAAGGGGTACCAATATGTGGTGTAAAGAACCCTTCCCTGTCCCCAGAGGCTGGCACTGATCTGTCTCTGATATTACACAGCGCTGTAGGATAAGCCTGTAAGGTTGGTGGTTCAAAATTCACCAGTCATTCCTCAGAAACCCTATACAGGGTCGTTATGAGCAGAACCAACTCAATGATGCTTAAAAACAACACATAAAACTGTTTGGAAAAGGACATTTGCTGCTAGAAAACAGTTTGAAAATGCCTCAGTGATAAAGTGTATGCAGATTAACATTTCCTTCCATCGCCACTACTCACTTCCCATGAGACTTTGGTTAAGTTATTTAATATCCCTGCACCTCAGTTTTCTCATCTGTAAAATGGGCATGATAATAACAGTGTGTACCTCAGGTAGAATAAATAAATAACACATCTACAAATGTTAGCTCATTGTCTTATTTTCTTGTTCATTTTGGAGAAAGCAGTCCTTAAATTCCAGTATTTTTCTCAAAAAAAAACACACCCATGTAAATACTGTGCACACACTTACAACACACAGAGCATGCAAAGGAAATTAGAAGTTGTGAAGGAGTTGTGGGGTTTAATCACACTGCATATTGTTGTTATTGTTGTTGTGAGGTGTTACCAAGTCAGTCCTAATAGCAACTCTATGCACAACAGAATCAAATACTACCTCGTCCCTCACCGTCCTCAGAATTGTTATATTTGATCGCATGGCTGCAGCTTTCTGGAAGCTCTGCAGAAATCTATCTACCAACTGTGACCCTACTGATATTTGGAAGATCAGTGGCATAGCTTCCAGCATCACAGTGATACGTAGTCCCCAGTACAACAAACTGATGGAAGGGTGGTGGAAAAAGCAGAATGTGCGTTATTTGCATTAAAATACAGTTGTTGCTCAGATCACTTCCTGGGGCAGATTCGGTACGTCTGTGCCCCCCTCTTCCTCTCTGATTCCTGGTAATTTCCACAGCTGGGTGGAAGCAGGACCTACCCTGCCCACTGCAGCCCACAGCTTCCCTCTTGCATTTCCTGAAAAACTCTTTAGCAGTCCGGCTTCCATTTCAACGGATTTTGGAAGTCCCCTCACCATGCTTGGTCATCATGCTTGGTCATGACCCTGCCTAAGCAAAGGCCCTTCCAACCTCCCTGCTCCCTATAAAAAGCAGGAAGATCCACCAGAGGACCGGAGAGGCTGAAAACAACCTAAGAGCCACCCACCTTGACTCTGAACCTTGTCTCCCTGCCCTTCACCATGAAGGTCTCGGTGTTCCTGTCTCTCCTCCTCGCAGTGGCTGCCTTCAGCTCCCAGATGCTTGCTCAGCCAGGTCAGCACATTTTCCCTCTCTTCCCTACCTTACCGCCATCGTCACTCTCTCTCCTTCTAGGAAGGAAGCCTTAGCCAAAGGCAAGAGTTTTGAGCTTATCAAACTGCAGGGGCCCTCAGAGCTTTACTCTGATGTTGTTGTTGTTAAGTGCCGTCGAGTCGGTTCCGACCCATAGCGACCCTGTACAGGGTTTCCGAGGGTGTAAATCCTTACGGGAGTAGAAAGCCTCATCTTTCTCCCGCGGAGCGGCTGGTAGTTTCGAACCGCTGACCTTAAGGTTCGCAGCCCGATTCGTAACCACTACGCTACCAGAGCTCCTTTGATATCTAGTTATAAAGACAGCCCTGGTGTCTCTGCAAGATACAGAATGGAGTGCTAACCACAAATTTGGCAGTTCAAACTCACCAGCTCCAGGAGAAAGATGAGGCTTTCTGCTTCAGTAAACAGTTACAGCCTCTGAAACCTTCTATGGGGCAGCTATGAGTCAGAATCAACTAATGGCTGTGGGATGAAGGCAGAAGCTCGGCCATTAACCAAAAGATCAATGGGAGAAAGATGTCATTGTCTGTTTTCATAATGATTGTTCTTCTTGTTAGGTGCCATTGAGTCGATTCCGACCCATAGCGACCCTGTATAAGGTTTCCAAACAGCAGCTGGTGAGCTTGAGCCACTGACCTTGCAGTTCAAACAACTTTGCAGTCTGACGCATTAGCCCACAGCGCCACACCAGGACTCCTTGAAAACTCTATGAGGCAGTTTTCCTGTGTCCTTGAGGGTCACTATGGGTTGGAATCCACTGGAAAACAGCGGGTTTCATTTGCATTTGGTATAAAGATAGTTAAGGGAACCTAGGATGGAATCAGGAAGGATCCTAACCTTCATCCAGGCTTTCACAGAGCCAGAATAAAATCGAAGTTGCTGGGCTCTTTCTCTGACATGCACTGATCTTCCTCAGCTCTGCAGAGTTGGGGACCTGGAGGCCAGAATAAAATCAAAGTTGCTGGGGCTCTTTCTCTGACATGCACTGATCTTTCTCAGCTCTGCAGAGTTGGGGACCTGGAGGCTGATCATGCCCCTTGTCTCCCTGGGTAATCCTACTGTGTTCCCACAGTGCAAAAGAGAGAACTTAGGTGGAGAATTTGGATCCTAGATCCCAACCTGCTTCTTCCTCTCTGCTCTGGCTCCTTGTACTGTGTTCCAGCTGAGACCACCCTAGCCCAACCTACCATGTTCTTTCTCTGTGGCTTTCTTTATAGATGCACTCAGCAGCCCAACTACTTGCTGCTTCACATTTCCAAGTAGGAAGATCCCCCTACAGATGCTGAGGAGCTATCGAAACACCACCAGCCACTGTTCCCAGAAAGCCGTCATGTGAGTAAACAAAGCAGCTACCCTCCAACATCCACTGCAGCCCACCCCACTCTTACAGCCCCCAGTCCAAAGTCTTTCTCTGGAAGACAGGTTTCAATTTAGACTGAATAGGAATTTTAGTGTGGCGCTGTGGGTTCCTGCGCTGGACCGCAAGGTCAGCGGTTCAAACCCACCAGCTGTTCCTTGGAAACCCTATACAGAGTCACTATAGGTCAGAACTGACTCGACGGCACTTAACAACAACAACAATAAGGAATCTTCCAGGGTCCCTGGAGAGTGCAATAGTTCAGGGAGTGGCTTCGAACTAAAAGATTAGCAGTTTGAATTCACCCAGAAGTACCTCACAAGAAAGATCTGGTGATCTGCTTCTGAAAGGTCCCAGCCATTGAAAATCCCCATGGAGTGCAGTTCTGCTCTGGGGTCACCAGGAGTTGGGATTGAATCTGTTGGGTGGTGGAAACCTACACTCAGAGGATAAGATCTAACCAGATTCTATAGGCTAACTCACCCTAAGATTGTTGCTGGTAGGTGCAGTAAGTCTATTTTGATGCATAGTAACCCCATGTAACAGAGGAGAACTACCCTATAATATGTTCTCAGCTGTAATCTTTATGGGAGCAGATCACTGGGTTGTTCTCCCATAGAGCTGTTGTTGTTGTTGTTGTGAAGTGCCGTCGAGTCGGTTCCAATCCATAGCAACCCTGAATAGGGTTTCCAAGGAGTGACTGGTGAGCTTGAACCACCGAGCTTGTAGTTCAAATGGCTTTGCAGTCTGGCGCATTAACTCACAGCGCCACACCAGGGAGCTTCAAGTAGTCAACCTTTTGTTTAGCAACTAAGTGCTTTTGTGCCACCAAGGTTCCTGCCCTGTGATTACAATTGGGCAAACAGGTACAAAGAAAAGTGAGGAACGCTCCATGCATTGCTTCCTGAGCAGGTGGCAGCCCACACCTTCACCCTTGCTATGTAGGTGTCAGAATGACTCCACCCCAGGCAGTGAGAGGAGCCGCTACCTCCAGAGTTTCCTTCTGCTATGGGCCTCCTCCCTCCCTCCCTGGGTAGCCCAACCCCTGCTGCAAATGGCCCAGGTGGGTTTAGAGCTCTCTGGTGGGCAACTTCCCCCCAAGGGTTCTACCTAACTGTGCCAACCCTCTTGCTTTCACAGCTTCAGAACCAAACGGGCCAAGGAGATCTGTGCCAACCCAAAGGAAAAGTGGGTCCAGAGTCACATGAAACACTTAGAGCAAATGTCCCCCCTCCTGACAGTGTGAACTCCCCCAGGCACAAGAAGACCAAGCCAGGGTATGAGAAACTGTTATTTATTCCCCTTCAGCCTGCCTTCCCTGTGGAGCCTGAAATAATCTTATTGTCATTTCAAATAGAGTGTCTTCTGTTTTGTGATACAAAACAGAATATGTCAAATAATATTGGATAGTATTTCAATTGTTGCTGGTTTGAAATTGATTTTGGATATTGATATATATGTGCAAGGCCCTCGTCTATGAGCCCTGGTTCTTCCCTTGTTATGCTGTGGGCCCCTGTCCTGCTTCAGGTCTTCAGGAAGAATCACAGCAATGAAATGATGCAATTTAGGGAGGCGAGGACCCTTGTGAATGTAAACCGAAACCAAACCCATTGCCTTCAAGTCATTTCAGCTCAAGGCGATCTTACAAGACAGAACAGAACTGCTTCGTAAGATTGCCAAAACTGCAAGTCTTCATGGAAGCTAATGGCCACATTTGACTTCTGCAGAATTGCTGGTCTAATAGCAGAGGGCTCCAGAGAAGGGAGTCTGTGGATAGACACCAGCTATGTGGCCAACTTGAGTTCATCTGAGTGTCAAAGGGACCTGACCCACCATAGCCCAGGGCATTCCAGAAGAATGACTCCATCCTTAATAGTGTCCCCGGCCTTGAGAGGCTTTCGTCCCATGTTCAGCATCAACACCAGCGACTTTGCTTTCCTTAGAATGAATGGATAGGATTTCATCAACCTACTGCAGCTGCCGTCTAACTGATCTCCCGGGCCTCTCCCTCCCAGCAGTCCTCCACCCTACATGCACTGTGACCTGATGACCAGAGGTAGACTGATTACTGGTCACATGGTCAGAAGCAGACTTTAGCAGAAGCACAGAAGATGGGACTCAAAGAAGAGATGCTTCTAGAGGAGGTGTGTGGTGGACAAAACAGAAAAGGCCCCAGGATAGGGGTGGGGAGGATCTCCAAACGGTCAAGAGTTTAGGTTCCAGAATGAAACAGTTGGAGATGCTGGTAGAGGAACTGGAATATCAGAGTGGGGAGTTTGGACTTGGTTCAGAAAGTTTCTGAGCCATCAGGCTAGGGAAGTCCTGGGGGCTGTGGACAGGGAGGCTGGGAATGACTTACTATAATAACCAGGTAAGCAATGCTGGATCCTGAGGCAGGCAGTGCAGGGGTGGAAGAGAGGAGCTAGTCTAAAGAAGAAAGGGCTAGACGTTATGAGAGGTTGAATTTCAGGGAAGGAAGGACAAAACCCAAGACATGAGACCTTCTCCTCCTTAAGCCAGGGGAGCTGCAGTTCAAGGAGTGTCAATCCTGAGACCCCGCATTCACTGCCCTCCTTCCCTCTCCTCGATTCACCTTCCATCTGCACACACATTACAGCCTCCTCTTCCTCTATGTCCACTGAGGGCTTCCTGCTCTTCCTGAGATGCCCTCATTCCCGCTCTGTGTGTGCTACTTATCCCAAGCCATGACTGGCACACAAACCAGGACCCTTTCCAGGAGGAGAGGACCCTGCTAATCAGCTCCATAGTGTCCATCCTGCCAACCAGGGAGAGACCATTCCTGTGCCATGCTGCATCTGGCAATTCACTTAGCAGATACAGACACCAGAAAGCTCTCTGGCCTGGGAGACGGGAGCCCTAGGTCTCATGCCAGATCAGGTTATGTGACCTCAAATCTGTTCCCATCCCTTTCCAACTTTGTCACTCTGCTCTGGGGTTAGCTTGGTTTGACAGGTAGTGGATTTCACAAGACCTCCACCAGCTAGGGCAGATGTGACTTTTGGAAAATAACGTGTCTGTGCTCCAGGAGCCTTCTGGACAGGCCAGCTCCCAAATGTGGACCCAGCTGGGCTCAGGTTATTTTTCCACCTCTGAGTCACAACCTGGGGGCCTGGTTGTTGTCCTTCCTTTCTGAGAAATAGTCTCTAAAACCTTGGTAGTCCTTGTGATTGAAGTTTTTGTTATCTGTAGGCACGCCAGGCCACACCTAAGTACAGGTTATGCTAATGAGGTCATTCAGGTGGGGGCTGGCAAGGTCAGAAAGATATCAGCTGATACCTGCCTTTGTAAGGAGGACATAGACGCTCCATAGGCTTCCTGGTTGATGAGAGAGCTGAGAACATGGGAGGGTAGCATGTCCATTGGGACATGGAAACACACTGGGGGCCTTCCGAACACTCACTCTATATGTCTCTTCATTTGTATCCCTTTTGCTATAATTTGTTGTTATTGTTAGGTGCCATCGAGTCTGTTCCAACTCATAATGACCCTGTATAAGGTTTCCAAGGAGTGGTTGGTGAGTTTGAACCACCAACCTTGTGGTTCTAACTGACCTTGCAGTGCAGTGCTCTAGCCTACTGCTATAATAAAAGCATTCATACTACTCTCCTGAGTTCTGTGAGTTTTTCTAGCAAACTATTGAACCTGAAGGAATAGCGGGAATCAGTCAGGTCTGAAGTGAAGAGGGACTGGGGGACCCCAAACTTAGGTGGACTTGCGCATCTGGAGGATGGTGTCAGGTCTTTGATTTGTGAGGTCTGACCTCGGTCTGGGGGTTCTGCTCAGAGGAAGAAGGTGTCAGGATGGAAGAGAATTGTGGAAATACAGTACAATTGTACTGGATTGAATTGATTTCATCACATAGGCCCAAGTCAAAACTCACCCTTAGCCCCAGAACAAAGACTGTCAAATGAGAGGCAGTGTATCATTTATTGGCTTGCATAGGCAAGAGCAGTTCCTCTTATACCAGTTCTAATGTATTTGGCTCCTCCTTCCCTACCCTCCAGTCCCTGATCCCAGCCAGCCTCTCAATGTCAATTAAATTTACCCCCCCGGTGAGGTTTCAAAGACATGGGGCAGCAGGAATTGAGAAATCAAAAGTGCATGTGTCCATTTATCAGGACCGGAGCAGATCCCTGTGATCCAGCAAACTTGGGAACGAGGATGCTGCGGGTTTGGAAGTTGTAGGGACAGGCAAAGCATGGTGGTCTTCACAGTCCAGCATGGGAAGGAATCTGCTCATTCTCCCTTTGGCAGGCAGGGTTTCATCTTCGCTAAATTGTCCTGGACCCATCTAGTTTTCTTCAAGACACAGCTCTCCCTGCCTTTCTTCAGCTTCAATCTGTGAGCAGAGAACAAAGATCACTAACTGCGTATCACGTGTAAATCCACTCTCCATCACTTCTCCCCATGTGCCCCTAAATCTCTCTCTGGATCTCATTGTTGCTCTTTCTAAAATAAAGTTATTGCATAAGAGTTGTAGATTACACACAGAGTGGAACATCCAAAACTCCTTTGGATGTTTGTTAAACCATGTTTCCTGGACCCCTCTCCTGGAGATTTCAATTCAGCGCATCCAGTGAAGCTGAAAGACACTGTAAACACTTTGAGATTCTCAGTAGGTGGGAAAATTACTGTCCTGGAATATCTCCCTGCTCCAAGTGTAATTTTTCTGTGTCTATCCAGGATGCTCAGCTATTGCTTTGGACTCAGAATAATAGTGTCTGTGTGTGTAGTCTCAACTGCCCATGGAGTCATTGCAGGATAGCGTCCTTTGAGACATGCAAAGTGTTACTGTGCTCTGCTAATAACCAAAAGATTGGAAATTCAAATCCCCCCAGAAGTGCCCTGGAAGAAAGACCTGGTGATCTACTTCCCCAAAAGATCAGCCTTTGAAAACCTTGTGGAGCCAAGTCTTCCTCTCACACACATGGGTCACCATGAGTACAGGTGACTTGACACAATGGTGGTGGCTGTGTTGCCCAGTTCCTAAACTTAGCTCAGGTCTGTTCCTCACAATCATAGCAACCACAGACAAACCTCTCTACCTCTTTCAACTTCAGTTTTCATGAGACTTCAACAAAACAATGTACATGAACCCCCAAACCCACTGCCACCAAGTCAATTCTGACTCAGAGTAACCGGATAGGGCAGAACTATCCCATAGAGTTTCCCAGGCTGCCAACCTTCATACGAGCAGACAGCCTCATCTTGTTCCTGAGGAGTGGCTGGGTGGTTTGAACCACTGACCTTTTGGTTAGCAGCCCAAGGCTTAGCCCATGGTGTCACTAGGGTTCCTATAACATCCATGCAATTGCCTTGTAAATGCTGAGCTACCTCATTTAAGCTTCATAACAACTCTGTGAAGCAGAAATCTTTTTAAATGCATTTCACAGACTAGGGGTTCAGAGAAGCACAGGGAGAATGAGGTGCAGAGGAATTAGTTGTCCAAGGTGACCCTGCCTATAGATTGGCAAATCAGGAGGTAGGCACTACTTATGACCTCTCAGTCTTTCCACTACACAATAACTTCTGATGCTTTGATAAGCAATTCATTCCTCTAGGCACAGAACCAGTCAGTGCCTTGTTGCTTCATGACGCAAACAAGTTAAAAGCAGGGTCCCAGTCACATCCTTCCTTGCTCTCCCCCTAGCGCCCAAACTCTGCTCACCATGCGGCTTAGGGGCTGCTTTAGAAACTTTTTTCTGGTGGGACATCGCCATCTAGCGTCCACTATTGTAATTCCAGGTCCACCACCAGTTTCTATTCTCTAAGAGAGGAAAGTATTGATGGTGGTGTGGTGTGGTTTGGTGTACTGTAGAGTCTGTTCTGACTCATAGCGACCTTACATAGGGGTTTTGAGGCTGTAAATCTTTACGGGAACAGAAAGCGTCATCTTTCTCCTATGGAGCAACTGGTAGTTTCGAACTGCTGACCAACCGTGAGGTTAGCAGCCCTACTCGTGGGATACAGGAATTGAACTTGGAACTCACATCAAGCCATCTTTGTAGGAGCAGGTGGAGCTGGTGTTTTTGTAACACTGGATGTCCTTCAGGGCCACCTTCCTGTTCACGAAGTAGTAACAGCAATTGGAGGAGGACACGTGCACTATGGGAGAAGTAGCACAGAAGACGGTTCAGATCTATTTCCTAACCTGAACTCAGCACCTCTCACCCGCAGCAAGATTTGTAAATAGAGAGAGAGCCCTTTGTGGGAGAGGCTCAAGCTTTGGGACCATATCCAGAGGGTCCAGGAGCAGCCCTAACTCACCAGTCATCTAGTTTTGCAGTAGTTGAAGAATTGGGAGACTGGAGTTTGCATTTCATCTCCCCACAAAGTAGCTGTGAGGACTTGACTATGATGAGCCTTCTCTCTGGGCCTCAGATTTCCTATCTGTGGAATAGGACTTTTAGACTGGTTTCTAAAGATTCTTCCTGTTCTGAGATATCATCATCAGTGTGTGATTCTGCCCCGGATCTCATCCTGCAGGCTTGGTGGGTCTGGTACATGCAGGACAACTGCAATCCACAACCCATAGACCACAGATCTTGGGCTGGATTAGGAACTGATGAATATGGTCAAATTGACAAAATGCAAGGGAAGTGCCCCTAGGAAATAACCAACCCTCCACCCTGGTCCTTGGGTCTTTCCAGGCCCCAATCCCTCACTCTACTAGGTTGCACCCTTCCCTCCCATAGACTCCCAAGAAACTCACATTCCAACCCTGTTTGCAAAGCCCTTTCATGTTGATCATGAGGTCAGTATTCCTGAAATAACCTTGGAAGGTAGGCATCGTCAACCCCATTTTACTAATGGGGAAACCAGACATTGAGAAATAAAAGTGGCGTGCCCAACTATTAGAGCCCAGATCCTAACTTCAGACCCTGCCTGTGATCTGCCATGTTTCTCTGGACCTCAGTCCTCCCTGCTTAGCCCAAATGACCTCACAGCCCAGCCCCTCTCCACCCCATTGGTCTGCAGGATGTGGATGAGCTCAAAAACCAAATCTGATGCCCTCAGGTCAATTCCAATTCATGGCAACCCTGTGTGTTACAGAATAGGACTGTTCCATAGGGTTGTTTGGGGTTTGTTTTTTGACTATAATCTTGATAGAAGCAGATTGCCAAGCTTCTGGGTGGGTTTGAACCACCAACCTTTCTGTTAGTTCAATCATCCAGGATTAATTAAGAGCCTACAAATACAGCTGTCTGTGTTTGCCCCAGACTCATTGTTCTCCTAGGAGCCTCCTGTCCATCATCCCATCCAAATTCCTTCTTTTCTGGTAGAATTCTTCCCAGAGACAGGTGATGGTGTCAATGGGCTTAGGGTGACTTTGTCCCCAACTCCAGATCATCTGTCTAGGTTTCGGCCCTCCCCAGAGAGAAGCAAGTCACTCCAGCCACACTTACTGCTCTTGCTGTCCACATCTAGTGTCCACATCCCAGCCAACAGCAGACACACCAGTGCTGTCCCGATGAGCTTCATCTCAGGTAGTCTGGTTCAGGCTTCCCTGGAGCAGCCTCAAGACTCAGGTGAAGCTAAAAGCTCTTCCCTGCCCATCCTGCAACTGCCTGGAGTTCTTATTATAAGATTGTGGGTGGGGTTTCCAAGGCCATGGTGAAGAGGTGGGGAAGTCACAGGGAGAAGGGGTGGTTATACACTTCCAATGATCAAATGGAAAAAAACTCCTTTCCTACCTGTCCTGGGTGGTGTGTAAGATATGGGGAAACTTCCCATGTGCAGGAGCAGATAAACATCTGGAGAGAATGTGTGGGAGCTGCCCCCATTGAGTGGTTGAGTGGGAAGTAGAGGAAGGTGACTGAGAGGAAGTGGCTAGTCCTGTGTGGCTTCTCTAACCCTGTCTTTCCATGCAGGATGTAGCCACTGCTCATGGGACATGATGGCATGGAACAGGCTCTGGGTCTGGACTAACACTAGTGGGTGCTTTTGAGATCCTCATCTATTGAGGAAACTTACCCAAGCCATAGAACCAAACTGGAAATAGTAACACTGTCTCAAAGGCATCCAATCAGCACTAAAAATCAATTTTTAAATAAAATTAATAATAAGATCTTATATGTCAATTGGCTGGAATTTATCTGAGTTTTTTCCCAATCACTCAACACTTCCCACTAGGTTTCCTTTTTCTAGGTCCTTGCCTAGCCCCAAGGAAAATAGCTATCAATGACTTTGAGTTACTCTATTAGACTCTCAAGGAACTCCGATAGCATAGTGGTTACGAATCGGGCTGCGATCCACAAGGTCAGCAGTTCAAAACTACCAGCTGTTCCGCAGGAGATAGATGAGGCTTTCTGCTCCCGTAAAGATTTACAGCTTCGGAAACCCTGTACAGGGTCGCTATGAGTCAGAACCGACTCCACGGTACATGGCACACACACATTAGACTCACAGTGTCAGGACAGAGGTAGATGTGGTAAATGTGAAGGGACGTAGAAGAAGACAGAGTCACCCAAAAGTATCAGAGAAGTCCTCATTGGGAAATGCCCCAAGTGCCAAGGAAACCCTGGTGGTACTGTGGGCTAAGCATTGGCTGTCGACTGTAAAATTGGAGGTTCAAACCCACCAGTCACTCCTCAGGAGAAAAGTGAGGCTGCCTGCTCCCATAAAGATTTATCTGGAAACCCACCAGCTGCTCCTTGGAAATGCTATACAGGGTTGCTATGGGTTGGTACCAACCTGACATCACTTAACAACAACAACGGAGCAATTCTGCTCTATCCTGCAGGATTTCCATGAGTAGAAACTGACTGTGGCAGCGGGTTTGGTTGGTTTTTCACTTTCCCTGAGGGCTGAAGTGGAAGGGAACATCCTAGCTCTATGAAATGATTTGTGTAGAGAAAATGAGACGTGAAGGAACTTGCTTTGCTCAGAGTTGTCTTGAAAAGCTGGGTGTGCGTATCAGGAAAATAACAAGAGCCAAGCAAGATGTGGCTGCTTAGGGATGGAGCTTTCAGTGACAGAGTGACTTGGAATAAGTAGGGATGTCAGGACTTGGAATAGTAGCATGCAATAGATGCTCATGGAGAAGTTACTGAGTCAAACGTGCATATTAAAATCACAATGCCCATGTGCATTACACAGGCATCAAGGATAGGTTAAGCCTATATAGACTTTTGCTCGTGCCACCCTCTAGCTCAAAAACCCACAGTGGCTCCCAGATCTTCATGGCTGTTTGTGTTAGGTCTCTGTGGATTCCTGTACCCCCTTTGCACATTCATGCTGCAGACTCTTCGTCTCTCCAAGATTTTGCTCAAGCCATGTTATGGATAGAATTGTGTTCCCAAAATATGCATTGGAATCCTGATTCAACACTAAAGGGTGACCAAAAGAGTGGGGCTGCCATCTAGGAGAGCCAGGAAAATGGGGCCACTGTCCAAAGCTGAAGAGATGGAGCTGTCATGTCCAGAGACCAGGAAGATAGGGCTTCCTGGGGCTGAGGGGCTGGGGTCACCATTCAGGTGGGCTAGAGAATAGATCCACTCAAAGCCAATGGGTCAGCCTTGCCATCTCCGTGGACCTGGAAGGTGGGGTGACATCCTGTGGAGTCTCTGCCCAGAATCCAGAGAGCATAGCCTACACCCAGAGTCTGGAGGGCAAAGCAGTGCTCACGTAGTCCCAGAGTACAGAGGACGGCTTGCAATCCTTGACAGCTGGTGAAATTTGCTCTGCTCAGTTGTGGATTTGCTTGGTACCTATGACCCCTTCTTTCTCCCATGTTAAATAAGAATGTCTGAAATGTACCTTTCCACCAGTGTACTTTGGAAATAGGGAAACTGTATTCTAGATGCCATAGTTCCACAGGTGGAAAAGAGCACCCCCAGGATCTCACCCATTGATTTATATGATTCAAAAGATAGCATTTGAACTTACAGTTGATGGTGGGATGGGATAGGACTTTGGGGATAATAGGATCGAGCTCCGGTTATAGGGGAAGACTTTCTGTTGGCTCTGGAGGAATGTGATAGGGTGATGGTATTTTTCATGTGGGAAGGACCAAAGGGTAGAATATTATGGATTGAATTGTGTACCCAAAAAATATGTGTTAGAATTCTGATCCCTATACCTGTGGGTTTGGAAACAGTGTTCTCTTTGTTATATTAATGAAGCCAGACCACTATAGGTTGTGGTCTAAGCCTGATCAAGTCAGAGTCATATAAAGAGCCAAGAGCTTGGTATGCCACTTAGGATAAGCACTGAACTGCTAACCACAAGGTAGACAGTTCAAACTCATCAGCTGCTCCTTGGAAACCCTATACTGGGTTGCTAGAAGTCAGAATTGACTCGATAGCCCTTAACAACAACAAGATACAGAGAAGAAGTCGCTGGGTGGTGCAAGCAGTTAACATGTTTGACTGCTAACAGGAAGGTTGGAGGTTCGAGTTCACCCAGAGGCACCTCAGAAGAAAAGTCTATCTTCTGTCTACACTCCTCAACAACATTGTTGGCCATCCTGAGACGTCAGAGGAGAAAGGACCCATCCAGAATCATGTGCAACAGTGGTTTGTAGCTTTCTGTAAGAGCTTTTGATAAAATGAAAATGTCTTCACCCATTTCAGATCCGAATCAAAGTATATGTGCCTATACATGTTGGGGAAATTTTTAAAGAACAACTAGGAATTTTCTCCGGTTACAGAAGATAAGAATCACACAGTCAGTGTATTCTGTTCACATTACAAACGGGACATTGTGGGAATGGGGTGGGGTGGGGAGAGGGGAGTAGGGAGTGAGACTCAGAAAGAGGAAAGTGATTTGCTCAAGTCATACTGAGAATCCCTTGAAGCGGTGGGACCTGCACCCTGGTCATTTGTGTTCACACCTGTGTCCATCAGGCTGCCTTTGAGAACATCCATAGTTTTAGCCTGGTGTGGCACTGTTGGATGAGCACTAACTGCTAACTACAAGGCCACGGCTTCAAACCCATCAGCCACTCCTTGGAAACCCTACACAGGGTTTCTATGAATCAGAACCAACTCAACGGTACTTAATGACAACATAACTAAGTACTCCTGCTCAGTTACCATTCATTCTGTCATCTGGCTCCGTATTACCCCCAAAATAGTTGAAGTTGCTAGCCCATTTTTGTCACATTCCGATTTTTTTTTTTTTTTACTTTTTATTGTGAATTGACTGAAGGTTGGCAGAACAGATCTTCAGTCCCACGTTCAACAATTCATAGTCTTCATGCCATTTCAATGATTGCAATCCCTTCCGTGCACCATCAGCTAACATTTGCTGTTGTTTTTGTTGTTGTTAAGTGCAGTAGAGCTGGTTCTGACTCATAGTGAACCCATATAGGGTTTCCAAGGAGCAGCTGGTGAGTTTGAACTACCCACCTTATGATTCAAGCTTTATCCCACAGAGCCATAGACTGTTTGCTGTTGTTGGTAAGAACAGTTGAGTCAGTTCCAACTCAGAGAGACCCTGTATAGCGCCAAGGAGCAGCTAGTGAGCTTGAACCGCCAACCTTGTGGCTCAAACTGACCTTGCAGTCCAGCGCATTAGCCCGCAGTGCTATACCAGGACTCCAGTTAACAATATTTACCTCTATTCACTTTAATTCTTGAATTTCTCCATGTCTTCCACTATCTTCATCTTCCTGTGCCAACCTCCCTCTTGTATATTGCCTTCCCAGTCACTCAAATGAGCATGTGTCTACCCTCTATGCTCCTTGGAAACCCTCTACAGGGTCGCTATGAGTTGGAACTGACTCAAGAGCACTTAACAACAACACGAGTGGCGCTTTGGGTTAATACGCTGGACACAAAAGTCAGTTTGAGCTGCAAGGTCAGTGATTCAAGCTCACTAGTCACTCGTTGGAAACTCCATACAGGGTCGCTATGGGTCAGAACCAACTCAATGGCACTTTACAACAACCAAGTGAATAATTTTCCCTTCCCATCCATTACTGGTAACTATCATATAAGGTTTCTTTTAGCAAGGAAACCTTTTCTTAACTTTTTACTATGTGGTCTCAAACAGTATTTGTCCTTCTGTGATTGACAAATTTCACTCAGCATGATGTTCTCCAAGCTCATCTGTGTCTGTATTTACCCTTGCAGATTTGTGAATCCTAACTCATGGCTACCCCATGTGTTACAAAAGTGTTCCATGGGGTTTTCCTGGATATAATCCTTACAGAAGAAGATCACCAGGGCATTCTTCCATGAGACCACCAAGTAGGTTGAAATCACCAACAGCTTCTAGGTTATTTGTCTAGTGAAAACCGTTTGTACCATGCAGGGATGATTCTTGCGTATTACAACCTTCTTATTCCTTTATTGTCATTGCAGTAGGGCCTATGAAACTGTGTGGTCAACCTTTCAAATTAACTGTAGGTCTTTTAGACTCACTTGGGATGTGAAGGAGTGATGTGGCTACCCAGGACAATTTTTTGTACTTTCCTTCCTCCTGTGGAAGCTTCTGAGCCCACTCAAGATGGGACGGGGCTCCCCCTCCAGCAGCAC